TGACTGTGTCTTCAAAAGTATTTTTTTTTTGCAAAATATAAAAAGTATTATTGCGAGAACAATTGTATTGTCAGCATAATTACAAGAAATAATGATTAAATTTATATATTTTTAAAAAACTGTAAATTTATAATTTTTTTCATTAAATAATCAAATGTTTATATATTACTTATGTATTATTATTGTGGATTTTTCAGACAATAGATAATAATATAAAAAATAGAATTCATGAAACTTATATGAAGCCAAAATATATTAGCCAGAATATTACTAGAGATTTGGATGCAAAACACAACATTGATATGGGCAGCAAAGCACGTTTATTCGAGACTATTATTTATGTCACGTCTAAGCAGGTAAATACCTGATCTTTTAGATTTAGTCATTATAATATAAATATAAATATCTAATATAAAATGTATGAAAAGTTTGGTGAAAGTAATTTAGCCGAAAATGAGAGTACAAATCGATTATTGCAAGATCATTTTGTCAAGATTGAGGAAAGACTTGGATCTACTAACTTATCGATGAATAATACTATTTCAAATTCTTCTCAAGATATAGTTAATAATTATAATTATAATTATAATTATGAACAAATACCATTTAAAGATAGTATAACTTATTTACAACAATTAGATAAGAACAATTTTACCATACTATCTCAAGGTAGAGAATCTAATACTGAATCAGAAATTCAAAATAATGAATATATTGTAAGATCAAGTGATTCAGATATATGTATATCCCGAGGAACTTATAAAGAATCTTCTGTAAATAATATAAAAAATTCATTAAATATAGAAACAAATTTTCCTATTTATAATTCCAATGAAGTTTTGACAGACCAAAAATTTCTGCACAAACAAATAAACAAAGGAATTATTAGTGAAAATAAAAAATATAATAAACCATTAAGTGATGATGACAATCAATTATATATAGAACTCTCTAATTCAGAAATGTTAAAATTTGATGAGCCTAGATACTGTAATAATATCAGCTTAACCAGTCTTAATCATTCCATGAAGTCCTATCATTCTGAAAACAATGTTGCTAATGAAATAATATATACTTCCAAATCCTCTATGCAGAATCAGGAAGGTTTGTCATGCAATGAGGAAAATTTAGAAAATATTAATAATGCCAATAATACCATATTAAACAATGAAGAACCAATGTTGCATTTAGTACAAACCGAGACTGGTGAGCAATTTTATGAATTTATAATAAGCAACTTGGTAGAAAAAATGCAGGATGCTTCGTGCACAAAAGATGCGGAAGTTACAATAGGATATCCTTCAAATATTTGTAGAGATAGTCAAAAAATCAATTCAAATCTAAAAGGAAATGAGAAGATCGATCAAATAGAGCATCAACAAGCTCTAGATGATCTTGTTGATATAAATAACGAATTTAATTGTACACAATTTGATTTTTATAGAGAGGAAAAAAATTATGCTATTTTAAGCCATGAGGTATCTGAATATTTCAAACAAAATTCAAAAGAAAATGAATGTGTAAGTAATATGCAAAAGAAAAATCAAATCCATAATTCTGGGAACTTGGAATTACTGGAAAACGAAACACATGTAGATTTTGATAAATACATCGAAATTAATCTTGAAGCATTTGAAAGACTAAATTATGAAAATTGTAATGAAAAATTTTTGGAATTTGTGGAGGTTGCTGATATTGGCATAGAATCCTCAGGATACAAAGAACTTTCGATGGTACGTTTGATTCAAAATGATGGTGAACAGCTGTTAGAACTATTGCAAGATTCTCAGGCTGAGCAAGAAGCAAATCAAGATTTTATACAAGCTAATAATTTTAAAGACTGTTCAAACATTTTGCAAAATAGTAATAAAAGAATTGATTGTCCTAAAAGTAAATCAGATTTCTTCGCATGTGTCGAGAATAATATTCTTGATACTCCATTATCCTTGATACAAGAAGAAAATATGAATAATAACCGAGGCATAAAGAATATTAAAGAATATACAGACAGTAGCAACCATATGCTTACAGATGTAACTACTACTAAAAGTGCAAGTACTAAAAATATTAGAACATCAGAAGAATTGAAAAAATCAAAAATAATTTCAAGAAAGTTCCAATGCTTAGTATGCAAAAAGGCATTTTCAACAACATATAATTATAAACAACACATTGGAATACATTTTACCGATCAGCAAAAATTTCATTGTAAAGATTGTGGAGTGTCCTTCGCTTGGAAATCTACTTTGAACAAACATATCGCAAATAATCATACCTCAGATGGTCCGCAAAAGTTTGTTTGTGAGATTTGTCCGAAAGTCTATAGCACCTTATCACAAGTAAACGTAAGTCTACCAATTTATTTAAATTACATTGGTCTTATGTTATTACAGTTAAGAATTTTGTTCATTACTTATGGATTACAATCATTATTAATACTGATGATATATAGACATAATATTGTAATCAGATACAGACCCGATTGTACATAGATGCTATATGGAGTTAGCAAAATAGACTTCATATTGCTCGATTCTATAGTAAAACAAGATACATAATTATACATATAATTTCACATAAGTTGTAATTTCCCGTGTAACTCAAACTTATACATGGGCTTAGTAAGATCCACCCCACATTATCCGATGCAAAGTAAGGTTCATAATGGCATATTTTACATGAGTTAAACATTTATTCGAAATAATATAGATTTTCATCTCATATATTATCACGTCCAATTTTGTACGCGATTGATTTCGTACGCAATTGGATTTATGCACAATCAAATCTGTATATAATCAAGTCGATATCTAATTATCCTGTAATTGAGAATGGATTGAAATAGATTCAGACTTTCAGAAATACGCATTCGCAAACGTTAAAATTGTATGAATCCTTTTCTAGAATGCATTTTTTAATCATTTATACACTGAAAAAAAATTAGTAAATTTTAATAAATATTTAGTTGAATACTACCAATTAAATATTTATTAAATATAAAGATATATTTATTTGATACAAGAAATATTAATTTGATTTGAATTTAACAATTATTTTTTTTATTGAACAAATATTTATTGTAAGTAAATGTTTAGTTGGCAGTATTGAACTAAATATTTATTAAAATTAACTATATTTTTTTCTCAGTGTAGGAATTGCATGAAGCGCATTTCTATGCCTTCAATTTAAAAATAATATCAACTTTTTCTGTGCATCGTGCATACTGCTTAATTCGAAATTCTGAATAGGAAATGCAATTTTTCAATCTAGTTGCATCCAATTAATAGTTGAATCTAATTAATAATGCTTTTAAGACTTTCATGAGTGTTTTCTTTAGAGGTTTGAGGGTTATCGACGCGTTGTGATCCATTGGCATTAGCATCTGAATTTAATTGAATTAATTGAATCCAATCAAATTTGGACTGAATTCAATTGAATAAAAAAGTTTTCGCTATTTAAAATATGCATTCGGAAAATTTCCATTTTAATCCCTTTTCATTTACTAGAAAAATCTGTAAAAAACTTATTGCAAATTATCTCAGCCAGAATATATTTCTCAAAATAAATATATCGCCTCTATCTTTCTGTCCTTCATACTTTTCAAATACGTTAATTTAGTTAACTTATAAATTGAAATGATTAAATTAAAATAAATATTGAAGTTTTTGAATATCGATATGTTTTTTAATTATTTTGATAAAGTTGTTTAGGAAAATTTTATAAAAGAAAGAGATTAGACAATAATACGTGTGATAAACATTATAGATCTATGATTGACACACAAGTATTTCAGTACGTCTAATCATAAGAGCATAATTTTAAGAGCATTTCTTATATATCAATAGGTGTTACAATTTTTATTGAGCGCAATTGTCATATCTTTGAACATCAATTTGGAAACGAACATGTTCTTATAAATGTGTAAACACATCCGATCAATATGTGTCCTTATACGCGTTATTAGCGCTCGCGTTCAATCGTAAAATGCGTCGCTCCTGCTCGTCTCCTCTACGCAGTTCGCTATATGCTAAGTATTTTTCCTTATAATTTGAAAACTCCAGACGAAATTTTCATAAAGAAAAAAATCGTCTTAGAATTGAATTAGGAATGCGTCTTTTTAAGGACACTTGGGTTATTTTACATCATAAATTGATTGTATTTTACATCAATTTATTTTGAGAAATATATTCCAGCTGAGATCATATTTTTTGCAGTAAGTTCTTTATAGATTTTATTCTGCATGTAAAAAATAAACGTAAGATCTTTACAAACTGAATCGTGTGTTTACAAAATATATTTTATATTTTAAATATATTACATTTCAAAATATAAAATATTCTGTGAAAAACGTTTTTGAAGATTTTATCTTAACATCTTAATGCTCGGAAAACATTCAGAGGATTGTGGTTGGGTCACTGAAAAATACTTCTAATCAAATTTGGGAGAATTATTAATATTTCAGATTAGTTAAAAGTTCGAAAATAATCAGCGCGCAATCATATTTCTGAGATAAATTTGTTTAAGACATATATGTATTAGTTTAACATCTTTTACTTCACATCTAAGGCAGGTATTCATAGTCAGATCTTATATTCAAGATCATCTTAAGTACGATCTTAAGAAGTCACGAACCAATTAGAAGGCTGCGTTAAGACATTACTTAAGACGGTCTTGAAATAAGACTATGAATACCGGCCTAAGTGACGTATTAAGTATATTAATAAGAAATACTTTCTCATTAAACATGAAATGTGTAAATATTGGTAATGAAAATAAGGATAAGATGCAAGTATGGATAAAATAAAACTATTACTGAAAAAAAGGTCGTTAATAATGCTATCATTAGCTGCGTTCAGTGGACTCAACAATTGAATGAGCGCTCACTGTTATTGATGTATTCTTCCAGATGCTGATTGATCTAAAAGAATATATCAATAACAGCAAGCGCTCACTTAATTGTTGAGTCCACTGAATGCAGCCATTTGGTACATTCAGTACGATCACTCACTGAGCACTCAGTGAGCTCTTGCATCTGGTCTATATCATTTGGTCTATATTTTTAGTTCTAATGGAATGTGCCAATTGGATGTAAGAGCTCACTGAGCGCTCAGTGAGCGGTTGTATTATTGAATGCACTCATTATTGGAACGAGAAAGAAGTGTTCGAAGATGACAAGTCTGTGGGCACAAATTTTCAACAGTTTATGCAATATTCTTCCTCCAATATTTTTTATTTTTTAATCATAAAAGTGACCCAGCCACAATCTTCCGAATGTTTTTCATTAAGATGTTAAGATAAAATCTTCAAAAACGTGTTTCACAGGATATTTTATATTTTAAAATGTAATGTATTTAAAATATAAAATATATTTTGTAAACACACGATTCAGTTTGTAAAGATCATTATTTTTTTACATGCAGAATAATGAACAGAATTGATTTAGAAAGAAGAAACAAGCACACAATTCTATGAGATAAGGATCTTGAAATTTCGGAAATACTTCTATCTGAAACAAATTATATTGATTTTAAAATATCTCCTTCGAAAACTAAATAATTTTTATTTGAAATTTTTATTTAAATAAAAATTATTTAGTTTTCACTTTTAATTTATACTTTTATTTAAATGTATTGTTTTTATATAATTTTTAAGATTGATATATAAGATGGATCATTCTTTTATGTATATATTACAAATATAATACATGTCTCATATAGGAGCATGTAAAAAGGGATCATTTAAAGCAGCGGAATCATGTTTGTCTGCACTGCGGCAAGTCTTTCTTTAAAAGATTCGACCTGAAGACTCACAGTAGAACGCACACGAACGAACGTCCGTATGAATGTCGTATTTGCGGCAAAAGATTTCATCATCAGAGCCATATTATTCGTCATGAGCGTACGCATTCAGGCGAGCGACCATATGTATGCGACATTTGTCAAAGAACTTTTACACAGCCCAGTTCACTAAAAGCACATAAGCAGAAGCATCAGCAAATTCGAATGGATTTTTTGGATTACCAGATCGATGAGGACGATCCTATTGCATTAGCAATACTATGAGACATGGATCTATGAAATAAATATAAAAGACGGTATGTTTTGTTTGGAATGGAAAGAAGATAGTGGATATATACGGGATGATCCAAAACAATCCAGAAAAACAACCTATCCTTGAAAAGACGTATTCCTGACTTAATTGTAAGATTTTTTCTTTACAAATTTTATCCGAAAATTTCATCCGAAGTTTAGTTTTGAAATTATAAGAAGAAATATTTAGCGTATCATGGGCGTAGAGAAAACGAAGCAGGAACAGCACATCTCACAATTGAACATAAGTGCTTACACGGGGGATGTTGACTGATTGGACACGTTCACACGTTTATAAGAACAAATTCGGTCCTCTTTTCTTATTTCTCTCTGTTACTTTAAATATGCTAATTTTATTAAGTTATAAATTAAAATGATGAAATTGAAAGTATTGAATCCTTCGAGTATCGATTTGTTTTTTAATTACTGTGATAAAATTAGACAAATTTGGTCAAAAGAGAGAAATTAGACAAATAATAAACATATGATAAACATTATAAAGCTACTGTTGACACACAAATCATACAAGTGTTTTAGTGTGTCTAAGGCTAGGTTATTCCATTCTTTCAATGAATTTCAGTTCACTCTTTTATGCACTTACTCCTTTACTCTTTTGTTTATTTAATAGATACATTAACACATATTAAGTGTGGGAAAAAGTTCGTGGCGTTTTTCCCGTTAGATGGCATTTAAAAAACGCCACGAACTTTTTCCTAATAGTTATATTTATTTGAAGCTGGAATTGGCTCTAATTTTGAGAGCGTTTATTATGTGTTATTGTATGTTAAGAGGTTATAATTCTTATCACGCGTAATAATTAATCTAATTTCTCATTTTCACAAAAATTTCTTTTAATGATTTTATTAGCGCGTAGTATTTTTTATTTATGAGAAATTTTATAAGAAACATGCGATTGCATTTCTTAATATTCAAAGAGTTATAAATATAAAAAAAAAACATAAGCCAAATACACTTTAAAAGGTTATTATTATTTTAATTACAAAAATTATTATTACTATGTAGTATTACTAAATTGTAATAAAATGTATTACTAAATTATTATGTAGATATTCAATGATTTCATTTTGCTTTAACTTCTTGAAAAAAAAAAACAAATAATTTTAGATACAATGTAATAGTATTCGACAACTGTTTACTGCAATTCACTTCATATATTCAAAGTCATAGTTTCCATGATGAGAGATTCTTCTTTTTATTGTGTCATGTCTCAATACACACATATTTATTCGATAAAACGAGGAATTTATTAATCAATTCTCAAATAGCACAGAAATGTCTGCAAAGCGCTAAAAAAAGCGTTTATATACACTTTTTAGTGCTTTCTTTTAATACTTTGTAGATGCTGTATGCTATTTGTGGTTAATTACTAATAATCATAAACAATTGATTAATATTCGGCGATTGGAAATCACACACAAAAAGAAATACATCTGTAAGTCTGTACACAACAATATAACATGTGTTTATGTGTGGCAATTGATAGATCAGGATTGTCAAATTGAACAATTTTTTCACAATTTAAGCTATTCAACAAGCAAATTTTATGATGAAAATGGCTTCTGTGTAATCGGTTGCAAATTAAATTAAACCTCACGAAAATTGAATTCCAAATATATTTTACGATTAGGCCAGTATTCATATATATTTATCCCGAATTTTTATCTTGAATTAAGAAAAAAATCTTTAGAAGACCTTTTTCCTCTATATGTTCTAGAAGTTTGGCCATTTAAATTCTGGAAATTCTATCTATATATCAGGTGTTCAAAACAAAACGTCATTAATTGTCATTTTGGAAACAAAGCATTAAAAAAAATGTTTCATACAAAAGCTTTGTATCTTCAAAGAGGATATGAGGTGATGTCATTGGTTTGACCTTGGCGTTGTCAAGGTCAAAGTAAGATCACATAGAATTTTTTTAATGGGACTCCCCATTTTTTTATTGCATATTCTTGTAACTTAACTTAGTTTTGAAAATTTTTCAAAACACTACAATATAATAAAATATTTTTTCATTAGGCACTTTCAAAAGATGGGTTTTTTAATTTTCATTTTTATTTAAAAAGAATTAGAGAACCACTCTCCATTGATCTTGATTTTGACAAATGTTATCAAAGTCATGACTCTGAGCAATATTCAAAATGTTTAGCCGTTGATCGGACACTTTAGGTAATGCTCTAATATCGGCGATACTATAATTTTCAGTTTTATAATTTGAAAAGTACTTAATGAAAAAAATATTTTATTATATGTTTTGAAATTCTTTCGAGATAAGCTACGAAATATGCAATAAAAGAATGGAGAATTTCATTCAAAAAATTCTTCATTCAAATAATTCTATAAATGTTTAAAAACTACGATTAGATTAGAAATTTGATTTTTGTCCACAGGATTATCGAAATTTTCAATCAAAATTTTATCAATCTTCTATTATTGGGATAGCTGAATATATGGTTACTGGATTGGAAGTCACTATGAATTTTATGAACTTGAATCATGAACATGCATAGTTGCTAAAACAAATTCTCCTTTTTCAAATCATTTTGCAATTTTATTTTTATTTTTTATATCGTAATGTAATTCATGAAATTATTTTTTTATATATTGTAAGAATTTAAATGTAAGATTTGTGCTAAGACAATGTGATATTAATCTATTATTTTATAAGCGTTTTACTTAAAAGTAGATTTAAAAGGCTGAAAATTCTGTTTAATAATACTGTAATGAAAGAATAAATTCATTTAAATCAAATTAAGATGTATTAGACGTATACATTCTCTGCAAAGAAAATTAAATTTGGAATTATGTTTAATATTTACACTTCAAATAAATTACATATGAAAATATTATACATATGAAAATTGTTTGAATAAGATTATATTTTTGTTTAATAACATATTTTTGTAATTTATTTTATTTGTTAATATTTTTATTGTTAAAAATTAAAATTTTAAAAATGATTAAAAAATTTTTCTTTTATAAGTATTATATATATTTTAAATATTCAAAAAAATTTTATTGCGATTTATTAATTAGTTAAAAAGATATAGAATAAATAAAGAGAAAAGAAAGATTCAATTCTTTTAATGAAGAATTTCAGAGAGAAAAGTAAGAAAAATAAACTGGTGCAAAAATTCAGCTAAAAAGAACAGGTCTAATATGTGTTCTCTGAGTTAGAGTATGTTTCAAATTGATGCTGCAAAGTTTTGAAGCGTTTTAATTGGCCAGTTTGTAACATTCTTTCTTCTAATTGCCAATGCTTCAAAGCATTTGTAGCGACTTTGACAGCCTTTGACAGTCTGAGTGAACTTAAACCTGGATCGTTATTTAAAATCCCCAAAAAATTTTGAACTTAAAAGCTGCATTCGTTTTGGCGTTTGTAGCGCTTATGAGCATCAATTGTCTTTGTTTAACATTTAATAAACAACAAGGGCTGTGTTCTAAAATTTATTATCAATACTGAAAATATAGTTCTAATATAGAAAATATAGTCTATAGTTTAATATTATAAATTTCAGTACTGGTAAGTAAATTTTGGAAACAGCTAAGGATGAAGCTTAGGGAGCTGTTTATATTGGTCGTAACCATATGCCGTAATCTGTAAAAATTGATCAATCATCTTTGAATATTTCTTTCTTACAGTCAAATAAGAAGGGAATACTCGACTGTGATTAGTCAATTCTTATAAATTATGGCATACGGTTACGGCCAATAAATGTTCCCAAAGTGTTGTGAACGCCAAAGCGAACACAGCCAAAATGAGATAGATATACAGGATGTTTAGAAATAGTAATAAGTCTTTCGCACAAGGACAGAGTGAATTAAATTGAGAAGAAAAATCCTCTACCTATCTATTTTATAATTGTCGCAATGATTAACTAGTTATTAACTTGTGAAAATAACCAAATTCGCCCAGCCGTTAAAGTTTGCAAGCAAATGCAAGCGCGCGAGATTTGTTCATGTCACATGCTCCAAATTAACTCAGAGAGCACTTGGATCACAGGTAAGATAGCGATTGGAGCAGTTTCATGTGCTTAACACGGATTTAGGACAAGTGAGCATGTCATCTAACCTAATTCCGTGAGATCACCGAACAGATCGAATGCCTCATTTTGTTTCGGGTATTTTGTGTTACTTCGATTATTTGAAAAGCGTTTTTATATAAAAAAATGCGTTTTTAATAAATATAAAAGTTATAAATTAAAATGTCAAGGCTTTTTTAAAAAACGAGCAAATATAGTTAACTAATAAAATTCGTCTCTTATTACATTCGTATAACGCTATAAATTTCAAATGTTTCGACTTACAAGTATCAGTGATAATAAAGAAAACGTATTTATGTATCCAATATCAATGAACATGTGATACATAATAAAAATTATCGCTCTAGACTAATCTTATTTAGTTATTCCTGCATTAAGATATTATGGATTGACTATTCTATATAAATTAACATAAAAGTAAATTCTGATCAATATTGAATTAAATATAATAATTTTTCAATCAGAAATTGACATTTATATAATTATACAGAATATAGTTGAAGAAATCATTCGGAATGACATTTTATATGAAATTGTTGACTAAGCTGATTCTCGATAACAACCGAAGAACCAGTTAAACACAATTTTACAATTATTTAATTACTTTCAAACTTCTGACTTGATATTATTTCGATCCGTAACCAAATTATGATTATTAAATAAAATAAAATTTTCCTTTAAAAATATACCTGTTAAACAAACACCTTGTTTTATATGTATATACACACGCACGCACGTATCCGCGCACGCACACACACACACACATTTCAATAATAATATATTTTAACAAATGAATAGTATCCATTTATTTTATAATTTCATTTACTATAATATATGGTTTTTCAGTAAGAATGGTAAAACATAAATGACAGCCTAAAATAATTACTCAATTTTATCCTTATTGTTTGCAATAAACAAAGATGAAATAATTATTTAATTTAATTTATTATGATACATATGCGTCTTTTATTTAAAAATGCTCGTATTAGTCAGTGTAATTTATCTAAAATATTTAAATGTGAGCGCGTGTACAGTTCTCAAAATGGTCACAAAATGGTCACGTGACTTTGTCCCTCTACATCAAAGATGCCGATGCTCAGTATCGCAATTGGTATATCTAGATTGTGGCCTAACATGGTAGAAGTTATATACAATACTTTCTCCAGGCAGCCAATACAATGACAAGATTCTAAATCCAGCAGAAAAACAAGCTTGT